GACGATTTGACAATGGGACAGCCCTCACACACTCACGCACTTCACATGAATGCGCCTCTAAGTCAGTGAGTCTGTAAGGGATTGGATTGGAATTGGGCCTTACACTTCACTGCTGTTTTTATTAGTTTTACTGACCGTGGATGGAGTGGGTGCTAGTGTTAATCCAGTCATGACTCAATTTCTTCAATTTAAAAATTCATGTTTCACCCAACGTACTGTGGACATGGAGGAAATTGAGGAAAATATTCAAGGAGACTCATCCACTCAATATTTTAAAAACACTGGAAGGAAACCCAGAGCTATCATCACAGGGGCTAGGTCCAAATCTTACATCTTGGCAAAGAGTAGGCATTACTAGAATTCATGATCTCTTTGAGAAAGGGAGATTTAGAACGTTTGAATCACTGAAAACTCAGTACCACATATACAAGAATGATCATTATAAATATTTACAGGTCAGACATTATGTGTATGAGAAAACCAACTCACTGGAATACTCTAACGATTCTTGTCCATTAGAGATGTTTTTTCTGAACCACAAAGAGCAAAAACATTTTGTGTCGAAATTTTATTCAGAAATGTTGAATTTTATATGCGGATAAACTGGCATGGCTTAAAACATCATGGTGTACTTCACTGAAATGTGTGATAAGTGACGATATGTGGAATGACATCTTGCGATTACCCTCCAGAATTTCAATTTGCAACAGATAAAGAATTACAATATAATGTCCTACATAATATTTATATATCGCCATACATTTATAGTAAATATACAGCAGGAGTTTCACCAAATTGTCCCAAATGTAAAAGTCATGCAGGCACTAGGTTGCATTGCCTGTGGGAATACAATACAATTCAGGTATTCTGGAGGGCAATATGTGCAAACATTAGTATTGCAATAGGACAACAGGTGTCACCAAATCCACTTTTATGTTTGCTTGGAAATGTCCCCAATTTTCTTAAACAACATGAGGAAGTGATTCAATCACTCTTAATGCTGGCAAGAAAAGCAATCATGGTGAAGTGGGTAGGAGATGATCCTCCCTCTGTTCTTATGTGGAAATCTCTGATATCTGAGGTCATGGCTCTTGAAAAATTGGGACATTATCAATGGGAGGATTCATACTTTTCAGCAGAAATGGAAGAGACCATTGGAACATCTTGGAGTTAAATACAATTTGGAACTGAACTAACTGGACATATGCTTGAAATGGGACATTACAGGAATCTGACCCATGTATGTGTTTCACTAGTTTGACTTTCATATTGTTTAAGTGCTGTGCTTCTCTCTTTTCACTTTTTGACCAGTCTTGTAAACCTGTGAAAATTGTAATTTTGTAATTTGATTTTTTGAATGCTTCTGGAAAATTGAATAAACGTTTATAAAAAAAATTAGTTAAAAAATTCATGTTTCAAGTCGAAAACATGACGTCAGCAGATCCCCTTGAGGGTGTCCTGTTGGTGAGGGCGACTGATTGTTCGCTCTCCTCAGTTTCTGGTCTGTAAACACAAGAGTTTCACTGTGAGTTCATTTGTGCTTCACAAACACATAACAGTAATGCTGAGATTGAGTTGAGACATGCATGTTAATCATCAGAAAGCTAAATGTTTTCTTAAGATGAGACTTGATTCAAACAAATATTTCAGTCCATGTTCACACTGTTATTCGCACTTTGTCTCATTCTGTTCAAAAGCTAAACACAGGAAACCACTTCAGGTTTTTACAGACATAAAGACACATTATTTTACCCATGTAACAGAACACAAAGCTTTTTAGAAGCAGTGTGACTGCATGAAAAGATAATGGAAAGAAGAAGATGGCTCATTTTTTACCTTTATTCAACTGAACACAGTACAAAGACGTGTTCGATGTTCAAACTGATAGTTTGCTTTTTGTAAAATACGCACTCAGTCTGAATTTGATGTCTNAATGGAAAGAAGAAGATGGCTCATTTTTTACCTTTATTCAACTGAACACAGTACAAAGACGTGTTCGATGTTCAAACTGATAGTTTGCTTTTTGTAAAATACGCACTCAGTCTAAATTTGATGTCTGCAAAATGTTATAATAAAGTTGGCACAGGAGCAATAAAAGACTGGGAAGGTGGCTGAATGCTACAAAACACCAGTTAGGAATGTTCCGCAGGTAAACTGGTGACAGCATCAAGACTGGGTATACAGCAGGGGCGATTGCTCTGAGACAACAAGGGAAGCTGAACTTCCCCTAAAATTTCATAGAAGAAATGATCAAATATGTACTATTGAATTTACATTAAAATAAGAATTTACATTGCATTAAACGTGTGCTAGGATGCGTTTAACATCATGACTATGACGGTCAAACGTCAGCTGTTTATCACCAGTTTTCAAACGCGACCTCCCTGTCATACATTCTCGTGTGAGCACGGTGGACGCGGAGCCTCCAAGCATTCCTATGAGACAGCGCTGAGCAGGTTTTTTTCATGCAGCAAAGCGAGACAGTCATTGGATAAATGCGACAAAATCATCACTTCCAGGGAGGCTCAGCTTTCCTGGGACCTAATGGAGCGGTAGGCGGGAGAGGACGCTTGGTGTATGCATGATGATTGGAGGAACTGTCTAAAAGGCTGAACCCCTTTGTGACTGACAGCGCTTTGGAAATACACAGCGGCATCGGTGAGTGGAGTCTTCTGACAGAGTGCCGTCCGGAGCTCCTTATTTCCATAAACCATATAGCTCATTTTCACCATTTGTAAACCCATCTCAAATCTCTGAGGTGTGTTTTGCTGTGGTTCTATGGCATGAGTGTGGTTGAAAAACAGCTTCATTTAAATGACCCTTTCATGAGTTACTACCTCGCTACAATAATGACAAATTTTATGATGTAAATTTTAAGTGAGCTTCCCCTGTTTGAAAGAGCAGCAGCAGCCACTGGTATACAGGGGCATCCTCAAAAAGCTCAGCTGTTCACAAGCAAGGACGGTCACTTTGCGAAAGACAGTCAAACAGTTTCACAACCAAATTTCTCAGATTTTAGGATTTCACATCTACAATCTATAATATCATCAAAAGATTCAGAGAGTCTGGAGAAATCTCTGCATGTAAGGGACAGGGCTGAAAACCACTGAATGTCCATGACCTTTGACCAACATGACTGTATGAAGGATATTATTTCATGGGCTCAGAAACACTTTGGAAAACCACTGTCAGTAAACACATCGCTGCATCTACAGATGACACCTCAGACTCTACCATGCAAAATAAAAGCCAGATATCAACAACATCCAGAAACAGCTCCGCCCACTTCTCTGAGCTCATCTGAGACAGACTGACACAAAGTGGTCTGACCAGTCCATCATAGACGTCCTGTCCTCTGGGACCATCCAGATTGTTACCAGCTCAAAGCTCAAAGCCAGCATCTGTGATGGTATGGAGGTGTGTTAGTGCCCATGGCATCATGGGTAACTTCACATCTGTGAAGGCTCCATGAATGTTGAAAGGTACAGACAGGTTCTGGAGCAACATGTGCTGCTATCCAGACGGAGTCTTTTTCAGGGGTGACCCTGCTTATTCCAGCGAGACAATGAGACACATTCAGTACGTTTACACGGACAGTTTAAGTCCACTTTTAATCTGAATGAAAGGCCATTCCGATTAAAAGTGGTCATTCCGATTGAAAATTAAATCCGATTAAAGGGGGTGGTTTATTCTGTTTGTCATTTCGGATGAAAGAATTTTGTGTGCATGTATACACTCATTCCTCTTTAAGTTCATTCCGGTCTTTCTGCGCATGCTCGTTTCCTTGCCCTTCTGGCGCGATGACATATATAGCGTGCATAGCAATGGGCCGCATAGCAACGGGCTGAGATAGAGAAGTCGGACTTGTTGCACTCACCAGTTTCCATTCGCCACAGCACGGTCTTCTACCTCCCTTCTCCTCCTCAACAGATGAAGCATTAGCAGAACAAGGTTGCTGTCGTACTGCTGCTTCAAGAATATAAGCAAAACACGCCCGAAAAAGGCACTAAGAACGGCGGCGTCAAGCATCTTGTTACCCAGAGTGAGGACTACAGTGTTTTCTTCCAGTAAACGTAAACACGTAACATCCGCCCTGCCCCCTATCCAATCAGAAACCTTCCCTGGCCCAAACCTTGCGCAGACTTGAATAAAGGCGATTAAACTGATCTCCCATGTAAACCCTCATTCGGAATGAATATTTCTTATGTAAACTACCTGGAAAAACTTTAATTCCGAATGATTTCATTCAGATTTATTTCATTCTGAATGAGAAGCCATGACCATGACCTGCCTGCAGTCCACACCTGTCTCCCCCTGAACATGTGTAGAACATTATGAAGCACAAAATACAGTTCTCAAACACTTACTGAGTGCTGTTAAAAGAAAAGGTGATGTCACACGGTGGTAAACATGCTCCTGTCACAACTTTATCATAACATGTTGCAGACATCAAACTGAGAATAAATATATTTACCAAAAACATTGATCAGTTTGAACATTAAAGGTCAGCAAAACTTCTTTTTTTTTTTTTTCTTTTTTGAACTTGGGGTTGTCCTGGGTATAAAATGCTGTGCTATAAAATGTGGTGCTGCAGCTTTTTACCTGGTGTTTTGTTTTATTTTTAACCCCTCGTCCTTTTTTTCTGCTGAACATATTATGGTTGAAAATCCTAATTAACTTCCAGCACTATCAAATATCGTGCTCTGCAGATTTCCCTCCAAATCTGACCTGATGACTCAGAGAGGAGAGCACGTTCAGCCTCAGTCTGGTCATAACACTGATGGCTCACATTACATGCGTGGAGTCAATGGTTTTTACTTACCTCTGACTACAACTACCCTGTTTGGCTCTGAGGGATTTCAGCAGCTTTTTCCGAAATATGTAGAGAAGCACCCCGATGAGGAGGAGGAGGAGGAGGAGGAGGAGGATGGGGATGATGATGGCAAGAAGCCATGATTTTGAAGCCCCTATCGAACACAGAGGGAACAACATACACAGCAGCAGTGAGACATGAAGTCAGAGCTCAGACTCCAATGAGCTCAGACGGTGTTTGGATGGACATGCATGGATCAAATGCTGAAGGTGTGAGGTATTTAAGATGGGAATGGTTCAGTTTGGACTCTGTCTTTTAATAACTGATAAACAACAAACTTGTACATGAAACATGGATGTACAGAACCACGATATAGAAAAAGAAATTAAACAAACTATAAGCTGTTTATGAAATGAAGCATGGTGAGGATAAAAACTAACTAAAATACCATTGTGTCCCCCATTTCCTCTTTCCACTTGATTAAATAAACTTTTCACACCCAGATGATCTCACATCATCAGCTTAGCTTTAAATCCAAAAGAGCAATATCTTTACATTTTGACTGATATTCAACTTGAATCATTGAAACAGCTTGAAACTTAAGGTTTGAAAATAACTACACAAATGATTTGGGATCAAAAGACAAAAAATATGCAACAACTGCAGATTAATATTTGACTGAACTGATAGTTTTATTTGATGCAGATAAAAAAAGCAGTTTGTCCAATTTCAGGTTTTTTGTTTTAACTTGTGACATTATTCCTTTATAATATAAATTGTGGACAGTTTGATTACAGTGTAGCTTACAGTCGACCACCAGATGGTCCTAAAATACAGCTCATTTAAACCCTACTGACTATTCAGATGGCACTTACTTTAAACAAAGGACAAAGAGTGTTTCCACATTGATGCATTTCTACTTGTATTTAAGTAAAATATAACATCTTCCACCATTGTCTGTGACACTTTTCTTAACCTGTCAGGGGGGGGGAGGTTCAGACTATCTGACAGTAAAAGTGTGTAATAATAAATAATAATAAAAGTGTGTAAATAATGAATGTATGTGACACTTACCATCATCACCATCAGAGGGAGGTTTGGGGCAGTCTGTAAAAAACACAGTGAGTCAGTGTTCAACTGTTTTGACCAAGAAAAGTGATAAAAGTTTCACTGTTTCTACTGTTAATTTAAAACCCAAACAAACACACATGCTCCTTCTTAAGCCTGTCCTCCCAAACTTTTGGGACGCGCATTGCCAAGGCAACAACAGTTACAACTGGTGAGCCAGCTGACCGAGAATGGCGTAATCCACAGGGGGGACGCGGACTTTCACTTAGCTGCTGTAGTGAGTGACTCTAACTGCTATCCAGCAGTCTGATCACCAACTTTCTGTTGGCGGTTGTGTTTTTAGGTCTTCGTGGCAATAAAATCTTTTGCAAACGTTGTATGGTGTACAGAGCGAATAGCACAGGAAGCAATATAAAGTTACCTAACATCAGTTAGGGTTAGCTGTGGCATGTGTCACTTCAGTTGCTGCTGCAAAGCTAATATGCAAAGAGGACGAGATGGTTTCCCAGAGCCAGCTTACCAGCTCCAGACAGTGATACTGAAAGCTGACCTACA